AGAAGAAGAAGAAGAAGAAGAAGAAGAAGAAGAAGAAGAAGAAGAAGCAAAAGTTGGAAGAAGTCAGAAGAAGAGTCAGAAGAGTCAGAAGAGTCAGAAGAAGAAGAAGAAGAAGGAGAAGAAGAAGGAGAGTCAGAAGAAAAAGAAGAAGAAGGAGAAGAAGGAGAAGAAGGAGAAGGAGAAGGAGAAGGAGAAGGCAAAGGCAAGAAGACAAGTCCAAGTTCACCATTTGGTCGAAACCAATATTGAGCATTCCCAGGAGTTGACTGTTCACCAAACACCAGCTGCACCGCCAGCTGCAATCCTGTCTTGGTAATTTGGGTGACAAGCTCAGGAACGTGTTTGTGGTATTTTGTAGTTGCTTTCAGGTCTTGGTCACCCACAGGGTTTGGTCTCCCTCAAAGGGTTCGCCGTCCCACCAGAAGACCAGGCCACTGATCAGAAGGTGCAGACAGCCCTCAAGCGGCTTCCGGAGGGGACAACGCTACGCGGAGTGATTGAAGGGACACCAGCACTGGTGATTTCTGGACATTCATGGGTGGGTGGAAGGGGAGCAGGTAGAGAGAGAATGGAGAGAACAGCTGGAAGAAAACATGTTGAAAGTACTCTACTATCTAACCTGGAACCTTCTTCGAGATTGACATTTTGTGGGTTGCGTAGGAGGCCTACCTCATGACACGGGCACAGAAGGACACTTGTCCACCACAAAAACATGTCGCCCTTGACGCTGAGGTTGTTGGTGGTTTCCCATCGATTGGCAACACTGCAGGACTATGACCTGGTGGTGGTCCTGGGGGATGGGGAGGTGATCGAATTTGGGAAGCCAGATGAGCTGGAAGCTGATCCCAATTCCAATTTCGCCAGCATGCTTGCGGCCGAGCGGGGTGGAGAAGTCTTCTAAAACAGATGTTGCTTACTCCTCCGGACGGTGCTTCTTCCGGCGCGTTGGGACGGTGGAGATGGTGGAGGGTCGGCATTGTCCCGCAAGTGCCTTTTGACATCCGGTCCTTTCTTGTGGGTGCTGAGACTTCTTGGTTGATTAGGATAACTTGACTGACATAGCCACAACAAGACCTTCCTCCTCAAAGGATCTTTGCTGCTCTGTGGCTGAAGTCTATGGCCGAACATGCAAAACTGTTGTTCTTTGGCCATGATTGGATTGAACCTGTTGCTCGCGTCAGGTACGTCATCCCATCTCATCCCTTTGTGTCGAGTGAGCACAAGAAGCTGGAGTGACACTGTCCATTGTGTTTCGCCCAAAAGAGGAGTTGCCGAAGCTGATGCAGCTTCAGAATGTCCAGCGAGCAGTGAATCGAGTGACCAATCGAAGGGCTGTAATCCTTTAATTAAGCTAGAATCACTGGCCCTGCAGCAGAAAGTTTCTTCAAGAATCATGGGGAGCAATGGAACAAGAGTTGATCGTGCTTGTATGGACAATCCGTGGGTCAAGGTCAAGGGAAAAAGGCCCTGAGATCCTTTATCAACCACCTTTTCATGGTGTGGGAAGAGAGTCTCTTCATCGGCTGCAGCCCTTGAACGGCCCAAACACTGACCGCCCCTCTTGCCCAAAGATCTGGACTGAGAAGCCAAGCTGCTGGGCCTGAAAAGGTTGCACAAAAAGACTGTAAATCAGGGTACCTCTTAATAGCGAAAGTCCTGATTAATAACGACATCCAGATTTTAATTGCGAAAATTAAATGATCTCGTTCTTGCGAAATGATACGCTGATTGCCACCACATGGCTGAGTCAACGTGACATGGCAGAGCTGGGTCTCTGCCAACATGGCACAGTGGGTCGGACCTTGTGATTGAACTTGGCGGGTATTGAGTTCTCAACAGGTCCAAGAAATTAAAGCGAGGGATGCACCATTCATTGCTCAGCTGCTTCCACCTCAAAGGTCCCTCGAGGACCATTGCTGTGCTTCTGGCAGCCGTAGTGGCAATGAAATGAGCTTCGCAATTAAAGTTCACCATTTCGCAATGAAGGATTTGCTTTTATTTTTCCGCTACTGAAGGGCCCCCTCAATGTAGACTGTGTCCGAGTCTGCTGAAGCACCTTCGAGGGATGCTTGCCCCCCACAAGGGCTTTTGATTTGTAAACATGCAACACCTGACCCTTATCGTAGTGTTCTTCTGGGGGATTTGGTCCCCTTGTGGCTTGTGGAGTGCCACAATGGACGTTGCCAAAGAGTGGTCGCGTCCCCCTAGGGGTTCCTTTTTCTCAAGGAACTCCCTAGACCGAGCTTTTGTGAGCTGTGCACTCTGAATTGTGTCCTACTGAATCCCCTGAGCTGCGACCCTCTTTCGTTCGCTGTCTCTAAGGCTTTTGATGGCGCCCAAACCAGAGGAACAGGAAGCCAAGGAAGAAACCAAGGTGCCTCTGGCTCAAAAGTCAGAAGCCAAAACGGAAGGATCCAAAGACCTAATGTGGGGCGGTGTGGCCAGTGAGGGCCTCAACCACAGTGAGACCCACTGGCCCCCTGGTAGACACGACCACTTATATATATATATATACATATTTTGCCATCCCTTGAGTGTTGAAGACAACTTCTGAGCTTGGGAGTGGATCACAAAATTTCAGATCCTTAGGTTTTATTCTTTCAGTTTTTCTACAGGACCTAATCAATCAACCAACATCAAGCTACCAACTTAGTGGATACGTGGCACATGTGGGGCAAGCACAACTGTGCCGTGCCATCTCTGCGACCACTGAGGTGGAGGAGCCTGCTGAGAAGCCAGCAGAGGGAGAGGCTGATGTGGCTCTGCGCAGGGTGGTGACGTTTGGAGTTGAAAAGAGAACGCTTGGACTACTCAGAAAGTGGATCGGTTCTTAGCTAATACTCCAAGATGGTTTGCTTCTGGGAGTCCAAGTGTATACTGTAAATTGGTTCACTTTTGCAGCATTCCTTCAAAAATAACGATCCTGCAAATCTTGCTTTGAGCGATGGCAAGTGAAAGCAGTCTTTCAGGGAATGGTCCGGCCACCTGAGTGTGGTTCGCCCCCCAAAAAGAAACCAAACAAATCAAACAGCTTTGAAAGAAGGCTGCAGAAGAAGAAAAAAAGCCTGAAGAGGAAAAAGAGGCCGGGCCAGGGGAAGGTGCACGCGGTCCCTCTCCGAGCCGTGCAGGCAAGGGGCCGGCTGGGCCGAGACAAGGGGATGGAGTGAAATAGGACGTATCTTCCTTGAAGTAAGGGGACTAGGGAGAACATGTGACCGTCCTGTGTTCAGCACTTTATCGCACGTGACTTCATTGTACGGCTTTCAGCCCCTGTCGGGACTCACAGGCGCTTTTTCGGTTGGTACTCCAAAAAGGACCCCTTAAAGGTGAACATCCAGAATATTGTGCGGAGTCTATTTAGAAAGACTTAGCGTATTAGAGAGGTTTGGCATTGTACAAGCTCATTTACCTCTGTTGGCTTTGCTCAGACCGTTTCCTTTTCTCATCGGACACTTTTTACTTTAGATTCTTTCGATTTAAGTATGTTGCAACACGTGCGCTTTTTGACCTAGACCTAGCTTGGCATCAATGCATGTCCAAAGCTTTGTTCAAGATTTGTCCAAGGACTTCAACATTCTGCTCTTCCTCTCATTTCAAAGCCATCTCCGCTGTGTCCAAGTGTCAGAAGCGCTTTCAGAACATAACCCTTTTGCCTTCTATCAGCATGACACCTGCAGTTGTGAGAAATCCTGCTCTGTCCCAATTCGCACAGCCAAGAATCAAAGGTCAGGACTGGGCATCCACAACTGCTTGCATCGCTGCACTTTCGCTGGCCGATGTCCGGCCAGAGGCCTGGCTGCCCTGCTTTGCAGCATTCGCCCTGTTTTTCTGGAGGAGCGCAATGCACCGCACAAAAAGTACAAAGCTCCTTGGTTGGCATCCCTCTCTGCCGGTGACCAGAAGACCTACCGGTTCATCCATGTCTGCTGTGGTGCCCTTCAGGACTCTTAGGCAAGTCTAAGCTGCCCCTTTGATTTGGCTGCTATGTAGAGTATTGTATCAAACTGTTGCACGGTGCCTTGTTTTAAAGCTGGCCATCTGACAGATTTTGACAGTGTATGGCAGGGCAGCTACATGCCTTGCCAATGGCTTTCTTGGTGCTGACCACCCTGTGAATGGCACCGGAGGCAGCTACTGCTTTTTCTGCCGCAAGCAAGAGCGCTCTTGTTCGAGGCTAGGATTGTAACAAGGTCCCCCAACAAGCAGTTTTTACGGTTGCTCTCTAAGTGGACTTTGCGGACGAGGTAGACTGAGCTCTGAACCAGGTGGACTGGGCCATTCAACAGACTTGGCGAATTCACTTTGTTCAACCTTGGCATCTCTGGCATACATACCAAGCGTGATGTGCATCTCATTCACATGAAACACGTGATTGGACACCAAGCGCTGTGTCGTGGCTTTGCAGGTTGAGTCAGTTGAATTTGGTGTTCCAGGAGATGTCCACCAGCGCCTCTGAAGCTA